TCTTTCCCTTTTTGGGTATTTGCCATCGAGGTGGGAGGATCAGGCACAATGGTTGCCAGAAGCAAGCTCTGTAGTCTGGCATTTCTTCTGCACAGCAATGGGCTCACCTTCAGTGCCACTGTCAGATGTTGATGTCATGAATTAAGTTAAAAACTGTCAATGGCTGAAGGCACAGGAATAACAGGAATAGAAGCCACTGCTATAAGGGAAAGCCTTCTTTAATAGTTTTACATGTTTAATGCTTTGTTGCTTTTTCCTCCTTCCTTTCCTCAGCCTACAATCAAAGCTTATAACAGGGTGAACACCTGAAATACATGGGTGAGCCTCTTATGACATCAATGTACTAATGCTTTATATTCCAATTTGTAAAGGAGGGAAGGGTTATGGCTGGCATCTAATCCCTCCTCTTCTTTTCTCCCCATCCTTACACCCTCTGCCTGCCTCTGCAGTGCCCTTTCTCCATCACCCTTTGGCAGTGCAATAGTCCTGTTTCCATCCCCATAGACCCCATCTCCCAGCTGTCCTGCCCTTAGATGGAGAGGGGACCTGCTGGTGACTGCCCTGCACACACCAAGGAACAAGACTGGCAGGTTAGAGCTCATGTGATCACACAGTCACTCACCTGAGCCATACCACCTACCTTAATGCTACATGTCTGAGGTTTTCAGGACGTTATTTTTGGTCAGGGCCTCTCACAATAAATTGCAACACACTTGGAGCCCACTGGATTTACTACACATGCATGACAAATTTGAGGACATGCAGTGGGAGCCCACAAATCCCTGACCAAAGAGCCAACGTTCTCACAAATGAAATTTCAGAGAAAAAGGGAAGAAAATTGAGAGGAAAAGAGCATGCCAAGGAAAATGACAGAATTAAACTGTCACACATCAGGTTAAATGGCAGCCTCACAGGTGTCATTTAGGGCCCTTTCCATATTTAATAAAATGGCATATTCTCAGGTAAGCTAGTTGAAAAAAAAACAACAACCAACACAACAAAAGCCCCCAAACAAAAAAATCAAAACGACAACAACAAAACCCAAACAAACAAAACAAACCCCAACAACAACAAAAATCCAGCAGTGAGGTAGGTCCAGGGAATTACTTCAGGGGCTAGATGTTGCTCAGGCCTAAGTAAAAGGATTTTAAATTGTACACTTGACATTAAGAGCAGCAAGGCAGAGGATCTATACTGAAAAACCTCCTACCCTGACTAACTACCTAGTGCTGTTAACATCACCCTTACATTTTTTACTTCTGGTCCTATCTTTTTGTTAACACTGACAGATGTGTGTTCAGCCTTTACAGGTACACAGGCTCAAATAAAACCAAGCCAAACTGACAAATAATTAAAACTGCACATCAAATTGCTGCTCATTCCATAAACATCTGTTCTGAAATGCTACTTGAAATAAAAGTGCTCCATGGAGACTCCATGCTAATCATTGTTAACCCCTGCAGGCAGAGGACAACAGGCAGTACAGACAAAAAGCAGGAGGTTAAGCAGGAATCTATTTAGTATTTCTACATACTGATAATACAAG